AAAAATCTCTCTGCTAACGCAATCCAACCATACGCATCAGCTCCGTCAAAAACAGGAAGATCAATTCGTTTCAACATTCCTTCACGACTGTTAATGATGGTGTTTCCAGCAGAAGAATCTGTAGAGCGATGATGATTGTCGGTCGCCGAATCAGGAAAACGGACCTGACGAGCTTGGGAAGAGTAATTTGGGTTCGAAAACTCCAAAACCTCATCCTTACGATCGGATCCCTTCTTCAAGACAGCTATGAGCTCCGAGAACTTTGAATCAATGGACGCAAACTGCAGCGTAGTCTGTTTCTCGAACTCCACCTGTGACGTGATACTCTGCATCAACGTGTGAGACAGAGATTCCAGTGACAACGGTTGTGTCGAGTCGGCCGTTTGCGACTTTTGTGAATCTTTCCCCATCTCTTTGGTTTGCGATTATTCGATCACAAGCACTCACGACGCACCAATTTGGTAAGAACTTAGACCTTTATTGCTTAAAAGACTAGAAAACACACCCAAACGTATAAGCTTGAAGATGAAAACCTCTTGTATCTCTTACCCTAGAGAACAAGCCACAGTTCCCAAATTCCTGATAAAGAAATTAAAAAAACTATAGAAGTCCTTTTATACTCAAGGACCATTACCAAAAAGGAAATTCATAAATAGAAAACCAATTAAACAGAAATGGAAAACTTCAAATATCTTCATCAACTCTTGTTGACGTTAAGTCGGCTCTACTCTGTTTCTTTCTTTGACGAAAATATGATCTCCATGGAATCATATCACCAGACATGGAGCTAGGGTTTATGAGGCCTGATTCCGTGATTCGGCGGTGATGGAAGATAAAATTTACATGAAAGATTTTAATAATAATACCTTTATTTATGAGCCAAAGGAAAGTAAATGGGAACTGGACGAGATGCTGAATTCTAATCATTGGAACGGTGCATGTGTTGTTGACAACGTTTTGTACTATTACGATGTTTTCAAGAAGAAGTTATTGGCGTATGATCCAAATCAGAGATGTTGGAAAGTGGTGAAAGGTTTGGAAGAATTGTTGTCTACAATGAGATGTTCATGGGGGTTCCACACAGTTAGCTACTGTGGGAAATTGGTTCTGTTCTTTCGTAAAATGGGAATTTGGTGCGCGGAGATTTCTTTGAGTAGACGTCAAGGAGGAGAGATTTGGGGTAAGGTGCAGTGGTGTGATTTTGTAATTGATGATGGAAAATTTGGCATGGTAACATGCCTTGATGTTACGGTTTGAAGCAGACACTCTTCCTTTTGATCTCTTTATTTGGCAGTTTGTTGAATTCGTTAATGTAAACTAAAACATTCCAATTTGAGTGCTTGGTTACGAATCCATAACGTTAGCTGCGTCTAGTCTACTATAACTGATTATTGCTTTAGTACTGAAGTTGTGTGTAGTAATTAGCTTTGAATCCATAACGTTAGCTGCGTCTAGTTTGAAGTAGACAAATGTACAGGCTTATGCTTCTGTTTTAGCATCAGAGAGATTGATCTATCAAAAGCAAACAAAAAAAAAAAAGAAAAAAAAAAAAGAAATATCATATATGTCATCACCTTCATCACCCGTTTAGCATGGTATATCAAACTATTCATACCAAAAGGTCTAGAGACCGAGTCTGTAGAAGGAACATAATGAACATGATTCCTCGTCTTCCTGCTCATTCTCCATCGCAATGGAACATAAAACAGAAGCTGGGATGATTCCGGAACCCTATAAAAAGATTCTCACTCCTGTATCACACTATGCTCCTTCCCATTGTCTTTAAAGATGTATTGAGTTTCTCTTCTCTTCTTCCTCCATATGCTTTTCACTCCAAGATCTCAAGATGAGACAAGCATATAGGTACAGAACCCGGTTGGTTCCATGAAACTGAGAGATAACCAGAGATCTCCTAAGAAGCAACGAGGAAGAACTATAAACACATTTACTTTACTTGTTTGAGCGAGAGAGATAGAGAGAGGGATGTGCTTACAGAGTTGATCATAAGAACTTTTTGTTTAGAATTAGATAGGGAAGCAAAAAATACTTTATAAACGGATTAGATAGGGAACTAAACCGTTGTTCAATAATTTCGTAAAACGAATTGCACTTAAACTAATCATGGTGGTTCAATTGTCGAAGATAGACGATTCATAAGAATACCAGTTGAGATCATATACAATTAGGTCTTATTCACTACGACTTTACGTTGATCACTGCAAACATTTCAAACAAAAATAAGTGATCAATTTTCTACAAAAAAAAAATCTTAGTTAGTCTAGCATTCAGCCAAGTTGACTCTCGATTAAGAATTATCTGATTAAAAGAAAATGAAATAGGGAAATATTTTTGAATTAAATTATTTTTTTTCCAAATAAAGCAATATAGGTAACTGAATTTTATGGTCATCTCATATTGAATTTTGTGGTTGCTACCTGCGAGATTGTTTTTTCGCCTAACATTGGACTATTTTCTAACTGTTGAGGTTTTATTAAGAAAATGAAGACAAATAACAAGAGTGGCCATCTTTGGTCATCAATACTCATTTTGAGTTTTGAGGGATTGAAGACGGATTTTGATTCATCATGAGATAGTTCTGACAACCGAAACCTATCAGAAATGTCGATTTTTGATGGTTTCTTTCGTAGAGAATATCCTGTTTTTTTTTATAGTGTGTGACATTTTGATTTCCAGTATATATGAAAAAGGTTTATAAGAATTATTTTGGATATTTATGTCATGAAAGTGCATTTATCTTTTCGAGTACTGGTTTTGAAAGAATTCCAGAGTTAAGTGTGTTTAAGCTAACTCTGGAGTAATCTCAGAATGGTTAACCTATCGAGAAGTGGTTTGCGGTACCGTGTGAGTGAGGACAAAAACACGGAGAAAATAAATATCGACTGTCGGACAGAGGTGGGCCAACAGACCTAGAGAAGATGTTGGACCTATGGGCCTAGAGAAGGCGTTGGGCTCACTGGTAGAAACGGTTGGAGGCGTTTAGAGTTGTTGATAGCCAATCTAGATGAAAGACGGGATCGGGGTCTCATAGATTTGATAGCCGGCCCGTCTAGTTCCCGGAAGGGAAGAAGGATGCGGAGTCTCAATATGAGGTAATTGAGTTTCATGGGTGATCTGATTGAAGTTTGGGGTTTGTAGATTGTTTTTTCGCCTAACATTGGATTATTTTCTAACTTTTGAGGTTGTTTTTTTAAAAAAAGAGTGGACATCTTTGGTTATAACGAGGTTAAGTTGGATCTGACACGCATGAACGTGTTAATTAATGAAACTAGATAAATGTTAAGAGAGTATTAGTTTTAGTGTTTCAATGAAGCTAAAAGGTTGATCTCTCCTGTAACCTGAAGATGAGATTTGGAAGAGACAAAAACTGTTCTTGTGCATGTGCACTAAGCTGCCTCCTCGCTTGTCCCCTTCTTCTCCTCCATAATATTCCTTCTGTACTTAGTTAATTTAAATTAATGATAATTATAATATTTTGATCAACATTCTTACACCCATTATATATTAGCCTTAATTTGTTCTGGATCGAATCTCTGGTAGCTAGAGTCTCTTTTCAGATGGCCACGAGAGCCGATGAAAGGTCATTATTATAATTCATTTTCTTCGAATCTTTCGTTGAAAACTAAAGTTTTTTAACAATATTTTTAAGTGATGGATGTTTTAGTCATACGATGATCTAATGTCTTGCATCTAAAACATATAGTCGACACATGGATGGACTCTGGATAAATGATTTCATAATCAAATCATAAATAGTAAAATTTACTCATTTTACCATCTTTTTAAAAAGAAAAACATTTTTGTGGATCTATCACTTTGTCAAAGTGGTACTAGGAATTGCATGTTTAAACCTCGTTTCAGTAAGCAAATCTGCTTGCATATACCTTGTTTATAGATGCATGTTATGATAAGTCCATAAACATATAGAAAATCGAGGTAAATATTATATAATGTGCTGGACTTGAGGTCCGAACAGAAGGATAATCATTGTGGATAATTTAGAGATAGTACAAACAATGTATCCTTAGGCAATAGTTAAGAAATTTTTTGAAGCTGGACCTCTTTTTCCATAGTAAATATCTCGATTGATCAAAACTGTCGCCTCAGTAATGTGAAAACGCAAATTTAAACATTAAATAAATAAGAAAAATAACTAAGTTGTTGTGCATGAAGTGAAAGAATGGAAAGGCCAGGTTTAGATTCAAACCATATAGATTGCAAACTATTTTAGAAGCTTCTTGAGTCCTTTGTCATGATTTTGTGCTCTAACAAAATGTTCTCTATGCATATAACAAATCATTGATTTATGATAAGATAGATGTTAGGATCATCTAATGTGTACGAATGCTACATCACATTTAAACATAATATATATATAGAGTATATATAAAAGATTTCCGGCGGGTTAAATCCATTGGAAATTTTTTAACAGATTATAAAAACATCAAATTATATTAGAAACCCGTTAAAAATTTCTGACAGAATTATACTAGTCGACAAGTCCGCCAGATTTACCCTTATTCTTGTAATGGTACTTCCCTAAGTTCACTATCGTTTATCAATGGTGAGATCACTCTCGTTTATCGATTTCGAGAGAGAAAACCAAGACATATCTCTTAGCTTGGAGTGCTCACTCGAGAAGTCTAGTTTTTTTTTCCTTATATCAGAATGACCTTTTATGGCAAGATGATGTATCTAATGCTTTGGTTTAATAATTTTTTTTTTTCTAGATGCGTTTGGGATAGATAAAAGAAAAAGAAAAAGAAAAGAAAAGAAAAGGTTAGGCCTAGACGGATATTTAGGACACATGAACATTATTAGTCATGCAATAAATAACTTACATCACTTATCTTTTTTAAAAATACGTTACTTCAAATCTTACCGGCATTAGGAATATACCGTATTGGCCAGGCCCCATAAATACCTAAAGTTGGACGAATATCAACATATATAAAAGATAGAGGAAAGTCCACTAAAAGGAACAGAACATCACATCATCTATCTATCATGTCTTCCTCTCGAACACAACCCTCTTCTTCTTCAGTTTGGCAACTCCAATACATGAAGCTACACTTCTTCACCAGAATTCGTTCTCTTTTGAAATCGAAAGCTTCCTCTCGCAAACGCAACTTTCAAGGCTCACCTGAGAAATCAAGAACACAAAAAGATTCCAACATGGTGGTGGCGATCCCGGAGATAATATCGAAACCACCCGAAGATCATAAGAATGAGGAGGTTGTGTTGCAGAAAACCGTGAAGAAGCTACACTTTGGAAGCTTGGAAGAGAAGAAAAAAGCTGCCTTAGAGATCGAGAAACTTGCTCGTGAAAACAAGAAGACTCGGAAGCTCATGGCTGAGCTTGGTGTTCTTCAGGTTCTTGTTTCTATGGTCGCTTCTGGTTTCTCCGGGCACCAAAGAGCTGCCGTTAAGGCTCTTATTCAGCTTTCTCATGGAACCTACACGTAAGTGCTTGAAGTTTTTGTTTTTTTGTTTTTTTACTAATTTAATCATATCATTTCATTAATAAATCAAAATTCATATATATTGATGCATGCCATCTTAAATAATATCAACTTTGTATATATATATACTAGTGTTAATATTTCTATTTAAGTAATTGTTAAGTCAATTAGATGAACTCAAGTTATTAATATTTCGTTGTTTTTGTGTGTTTGGTATCTATCAAATTATCACTCTTGTTTTGCTACATAATGATTTAGATAAGACGTTAAGCTTTGCTTTCCAATCAACTTGCATATTTTTAGCTTTATCCAATGGTGACTTGAAATATTGGATTTACGTTTTTGGCTATATGTGAATGAGCTAGTGGTTACAACTTCGATCTATACATCTATCATTTTTCCTTTGGCTTTGTTGATCTTTAATTTGATTTAGAATATTCTATCTAATTTAATAAACTATAGAGAAAATAAATAGTTTCAAAATATCAAAAGGGATTTTCGAGGACTTATAACATATAAATCATAAGTCATCGGTTGACAAAATCATCTAATAGAGTGATTTTCTACCGAAATTAATTCTTTTGACTAAAGGTGCTGTTATGCCTAATTTTATACGTTCGCTATAATGTTCATTTTCGTTTTGTCAACCAATATTTATTCACCATTGTTATATATATATATATATATATTGAGAAATACTTGTTATAGTTTTGAATTTGAAATTTATATATATTGAGATATATTTGTTATAGTTTTGAATTTGAAATTAGTGTGAAATATATATATATATATATATATATATATATATATAATTATAACCAAATTAGTGGATCCTACTTTGACTCTTGAAGTATGAGCGACGTTTCCCTCACGTGCCTTTCCCTCTTTTCTTGCTCTCATTTAATTTGGTCAAATATTGAGTATAAAGGTTGCAGAAGTAAAATGATTTACCATAGCACTACAAGTCCTGTCTATTTTTTAAAAGAAGTGGGATTATAATTACCAGAGCTAGTGGTAACTCTGCAAATGATATTTTTGTTGTAGTTATCTGAAACTATTTTCCTTGTTTATTTCTTTATTACATATTTATATACGCCCTGTATACACATATAACTTAGGGAAATACAAAGAACGTAGACATAGATGAGTTTGGAAAGCTTCGGTGGCAACCCACTAAGTTCTATATAAGATAAATCTATTATTCAGTATTGCACATTTCTTTCATCTATTTCTAAATAATAAACAAACAATAAATGTGACATTATAGTCTAATAATGAATATTAATTCCGAGTGCGTCGGAACTCGGAAGAGTCGAGAGACAAATCACGTTAGTTGACAGCCATTAGTATATCTCTAAATGGCCATTAATTTTTCTGACCAATTAGATCTTAGGCAAGTCGAAGGTCATATACCACTGGCCTCTGGCTAATCTACCTATAACTATAAATATAATAACATACCTTACGTATTCGGTTTATAAAATTAATAAAACTCTCTATAGTACATCATTTAATAATAGAATAATCTGCAGAATACAAATAAATTAAATACATATGAAATCGTTTTGCCATGAAATTAAAAGAATCCTATTATTGAAATAATTTATTAAAATCGAGGTTTACAAACTCTATGATGAATTTTTCAACTAACGAAACATGGTTGTATCCTCTGTTTTCCTTTCTATTTTCTTTTATTTTTGAAAACATTCTCTTCTTGCTACACAAATTATAAGCCCAAGAAGACTTATTTTTCAGCTTTGCATAAACAAATATATATAGTTTTCGTAACATGAATCGCTGTGAATTTTTCTTAGATTATGTTCAAGAGTAGAAGATAAACAGGAGATATTAGACGATTTGTATGATAATTTACTCGTTGAAGAAAGTACCTGAAACAATCATAAAAGAAATATCTAAGCGTCTTATATATTTTTCTCTTACTTCAGGAACAAGGCACTGATGGTGAGCGCTGGCATATGCTCAAGGCTACCTAAAAATGTCGAAGTTCTCGACCAATCAACAAGACATGGCTTCGCGGAGCTCCTGCTTTCACTGTCTTCTCTAACAAACGCACAATTGCCGGTAGCTTCATCACAAGTTATACCGTTCTTGATGGAAACCATGAACTCAGAGTCAACAGACATAAAGTGCAAAGAGATATGTTTAGCCACCATAAACAATCTCTGCCTCCTTTTGGAAAACGCAGGACCGTTGGTCACAAGCGGGGCAGTGCAGACACTCCTAAGCCTAATGTTGGTAAAAGACTTGTCCGAGAAGGCACTAGCGAGTCTAGGGCAATTGGTAGTGACACAAATGGGTAAAAAGGCAATGGAGGAGTGTTTGACTGTGCCCAAAGGTTTGATAGAGATTCTAACATGGGAAGATAAACCGAAATGCCAAGAATACTCCGCGTATATCTTGATGGTATTAGCTCATCAGAGTTGGAGCCAGCGCGAGAAAATGACCAAGGCAGGGATTGTACCGGTTCTTCTTGAAGTGACCTTGCTTGGGAGCCCTCTGGTTCAAAAGAGGGCAGTGAAACTTTTACAATGGTTCAAGGATGAGAGAAATGTACGGATGGGTCCTCATTCGGGTCCACAAACGGGTAGGATGAGTTCTGGGATGGGATCTCCAATAAGCCCGAGATCAGGGGAAGAAGGTAAGAAGATGATGAAGAATCTGGTGAAACAGAGTTTGTACAAGAACATGGAGATGATAACTAGAAGAGGGAATGTGGATATGGAGAGGGAAAGTTGTAGGCTTAAGTCTTTGATCATCAGCACAAGCTCTAAAAGCTTGACTTATTAATCTTTGTTTTATGTTTTAACTTTTCCATATTAAGTGATTAGTGAGTGTCTTGCTCTCTCGAAATGAATACAAGGGAATTTAAAGAGAGAGAAAAGTGCAACTGGAAAAATACGAATCGAGTTGAGAGACCCTTACATATTTTGATGTGTGGGTCTATTGAAATTAAATTTGACTTTGGAACAACTTTAATATGGATCCATAATCGAATCATCCCTAAAGAAAATTATTGTTGGAGGACGTACGTGTGTTCTTATGTTCCAAGTATAGAGCAAATCAAGCAACTTTCAAGAGGATGCAAAAGGAAAATACAACAAAGCAGTTTAGAAAGGCATCTATGTGCTAAAAAAAAGTTGAGATTTGCCGCAATTGATCAGCGAATCAGGCAGGAGCAGTTTGACTTGAAGTTGAAGTTGCGTCAACATTCATTACAAAGCTAAATCTTTTTTTCAAAGTTTGAACAAAGATTACTGTATTATTTTTTTATTACTGTATTAATTTGTTTTTGTTTTTTCTTTTTCATCTTTTAATGCAATACTAGGAGAGAACCCGTGCTACGCACAGATCTTGTTTTATTTTGTTTTGTAAGTGAATATGTTTTAGATTTTTAGTTAAACTATTAACTTTTTTTGTATAATTTTTTATTGTTTGATAACTCTAATAATCTTCTTTATATATTACTTTTTTTTTCTAATTCTTTCATCCAAATTTCGAGTTTCTTGATCTAAATTTTGATGTAGAGATAATTTTTTAACTTTCTCAATATACAATTTTTTTAATATAATTTTAGAAACCTCTTCCATCTGTTTTTTTTTGAATTTTTTTTTTATCAAAACTTTGACTAACAACAATTTTAACTTTCTCAATTTATCATGTTCATGTTTTCTTATCATACATTTTTAATTTTATTCAATCCAACTTTCCAACTGATACCTTCAAAATTATTGCCATATATATATTATTTTCTTCTTTTTCATTTTCTCTCTATCTGTGATATCTTGATATTTTCTTTATTGTTTTTTTGTGTTATAATTTTATTATTCTTGTTTGTTATTCTTCAATTGTTTTCTTTTAAAATATATTACTTTTTAGTTTTAATCTCATAACTTGCTTTTTACCATTTTTTGTTTTTTATGATCTTAGTAATCTCTTTCGTCTATTGTTTTTCAAATTTTTTCATTTAAATCTTTACATAACAATTATTTTGAACTTTCTCAAATTTTCAACTTTATATTTTGTAATTACTTATATTTCATTGAAGCCATTTTTCCAACCAGTACCTTTTAAATTATGTATATTTATTTGATGTTATATCTTTTTTTTTCTTTTCTATCATTTTCTCTCTAATTTTGATATTCTCTTATCTTTTCGATTGTTTATTAAATTTTTGTTTTGTGTGTTGTACTTTTATGGCTTTTGTTTTTTTGTTCTTCAGTTGTTTGATTTTTTTTTTTAACTATTGTTAATATGTTTAGGCTCAAAACTTGTTTTTTCTTTATTTTTATTGATTTAGTTATATTTGTAATTCAAAGATGAATTTTAAATCGTACAAAAAATAAAATAAAAAGACAACCACTATACTTTAATAAATTTAAATTTTATTTATTCTAAGTTTATGCTTTAATATTTTCAATTTAACATAGTTAAATGTAATTTAAATAATTTATATATATATTTATAGTTCTTAATAGTTTTTCGTTAGTTTTATTGTTCCTATTTGTTATTCTTCAGTTTATATTTTTTTTTAAAAAAATATTTTTTTAGTTTTAGCCTCATAGTTTGCTTTTTACTATTTACATTTTTGTGATCTTAATAACCTTTTTCATCTATGTTTTTTATTTTTTTTATTTAAATCCTCACATAACGATGATTTTGAATTTTTCAATTTTTGAATTTTTCATTTTCATATTTTTTTTATTACATATATTTCATTGAATCCATTTTTCAACCAGTATCTTTTTTATATATATTTATTTGTTACAATATGCTTTTTTGTTTTCTTTTTTCTACCATTATTCTCTTTAATTTTGATATTTTCTTATATTTTTAATTATTTATTATTTATTATTTATTTTTATACATTTTGGTTTATAGTTCTTGTTGTTTATTCTTTAGTTGCTTGAAATTATTTTTAACTATAGTTATTATTTTTTGGTCTCAAAAATCTTTTTTTCATTGATTGAATTATCTTTGTTAGTTCAAAGATGATGACTAAATCGTCGATAGAAAAAAAAAAAAGATGATGACTAAATCACAATAAAAAAACTGAGAAGACAATCACTATATTTTAATAAATTTAAAATTTATAAAATAAAAAGACAATCACTATACTTTAATAATTTTGAATTTTACTTATTTTAAGTTTATGCTTTAATATTTTGAATTTAATATAACTAAATGTGAATTAAATAGTTTAAATATTTATATTGTTTTATGGATTTTCTTTAGTTTTATTGTTCTTATTTGTTATTCTTCATTTGTTTATTTTCTTAAAACATATTGTTTTTAAATTTTAGCCTCATAACTTGGTTTTTACTATTTTACATTTTTTATGATCTTAATAACCTCTTTCATCTATTTTTGATTTATTTCATTTAAATCCTCACATAAAAATAATTTTGAACTTTTTTGATTTATCATTTTTATATTTTTTTTATTACATATATTTCATTGAATCAATCTTTCCAACCAGTATCTTTAATTTTTTTTAATTTATTTGTTATCATATTCTTTTTTAGCATTATTCTCTCTAATTTTGATATTCTCTTATCTTTTAAAGTAGTTATTATTTATTTTTATATGTTGTGGTTTTATAGTTCTTGTTTTTTATTTTTTAGCTGCTTAAAATTTTTTTTAACTATAGTTTTTTTTTTTGGTCTGAAAATCCTATTTTCATTGATTGAATTATCTTTGTTAGTTCAAAGATGATGATTAAATCACAAAAAATAAAATGAGAAGAAAATCATTATATTTTAATAAATTTAAATTTCATTTATTCTAAGTTTATGTTTTAATGTTTTAATTTAACATATTTAAATGTAAATTAAATAATACTCCCTCTGTTCCTAAATAGATGATGTTTTAAGATTTAGTATTGTTTCACAAAAGATGATGTTTTAGAAGTATTTAATGGTTATTTTATTTGTAAATTAAAAAATACTTAATTTACATTGGTTGTAAGAATATCAAATTTCTGAAATAGTATTGAAAAGTGTGAATAAAGGTTATATATTTATTGAACATAGCAAAATAGTTTAAAAAAAAAACAAAAAGTAATTAATAAAATATTTATTTATTGCTTCTTAATAAATGTGAAAATACTAAAACATCATCTATTTAGGAACAGAGGGAGTATATATATATATATATATATTTATTTATATATGCTGTTTAGTAAATTTTTGTTAAATTTAATTATTTTTAAGTAAATACTGAATTGTTAAAAAAAAATAAAAACTGACCAATAAGGGGAGGCTGATGTGTCGCCGTTGGGGAGTTCTCCTTCTCCTTTTATATATTAGACTAGATTTTGCGTCCACGCTACGCGTTGATATTTTGTTGATAAAATTATATATAATCGATTGTATTTATTAAGATATAAATTTTATATAATAGTGTTTTAATAATATATTAAAAATATTATGGTATTAATTTAATAATTTTTATGTAATTTATGAGGTTTAAAAGGTTTTGTTTTGATAATATGTCAAACACTTTTAATATACACAAACCAACTAAAATTTTTACAAATTAATCAAATGCTACTTTTTAAACATAGTATTGACATGATAATAAAATTTATACATTCAATATTTAAATCATGAATATAATATGTTTTCATCATTTTCACTTGTATTCCAATTATAGATGTGTTCTTTAAAAATAATAAAAATTAAAATTTAATCATTTTTTTTGTTTAACCAATAGAAATTTTGTATTTTGATATATTAATTTAAAAAAAACTAATAAATAATATGTTTGCATTGAGATTAATAACATCTTTAAATTTGAAACCAAAACAATAGTTGAATATAAAATAAATAAATCACACAAAATTTGTGAATTAAATATATTTTGTCAATTGATTCAGTAAATTTTTAAATAATTTTTTAATGATTGTACATCATCTCTTCTAATAAGAATGAAATTTTTTTTCAACATGTTCATTTTTATTGTTGTTATATCTGTTTTTTCAATGAATATATCATATTTGTTTATTTTAATGATTTTTGTATTATTATATTCAGTTTCATCAAATTTAAATAAACAGGAAAAACCTTTACAATTTAATACATACAATTTAAAAAAAAATAACAAATTAAACAACTCAAAACTAAAAACTTATACATTAATCTATTACAATTCTAAGTCGAATATACAAAATATATTTTTTTCGATCATTTTCACATAATGTATTACATGAGATTATGTCAATATGTTGTGCATATTTGGATGAATATAAATCATAAGTATTAGTTATTTAAAATTTTACGTGAAAAATCTTAAAAATCAAGTAACTTAAACTTATATGAATAGCATATATTTTTTTTAGATAATAAATTAAATTTTGAACTTAAACAGTGATAATAGAGATTTTAATATCATGTTGGTTTTTTTTTGTGAATATAATTTTTTTTATTTTTTTATTTATTTTTTTTAACCATAATATTAAACAGTGATAATAGGAATTTTTTTTTAATTTATAATTTTGATATATACGAATGAAATTAAAATTTTAAATGCTAATGTGGATGCGTTGAAAATAATATAGCTTTAATTGTTATTAATAATAGAATAGTTTTAATAAACAATTTTTCCTATACTGTTTTGAATTAACAAGATAATTTTATAATTTTAGAAACTTTTTAAATTTTAGTTATTGATGTGGACTAATAAAACTGAGTTTTTAAATATTATGTGGATGTCCTTAGAGGCATATAGCTTCAGCTTCTATTTTTCTATAAATATAATTTTTTGTTAATAATATTTTTTAAAATTTAGAAATTTCTTAATTTAAAATATTGATGTGGAGCAATAGAATTGAACTTTTAAATTATATTTGGACATTCTTAGAGGCATAT